AATTGGTTATGAAGGACCAAACTGACACTGTTCGGCCTCGCCCTCGGGCGCACATACAAAGATGAGTAGGGCTAGCGTTCAGTATACTTGGTGCGTTCATTTGGCAAAACCCTTCTACGGGGGTTTGAATCAGACCAGCCAGATTCGAACTGGGAGCCTGCATATCGTACTGCGCGACTGTTACACTACGTATACTGAGTCGACCCTCGGATGGCCGCTGTAACATACTTTCACCTATTGAGACCGATATGACGTAGCGCACAAGTCGAGGATACTTGCACCGTCGGACTCATAGAATTCCAACGCGTTTCACATACCACCAACGGTCCTCTTCTGAGAAATAACCATATTCTATCAGATGATCAGCCAAAATACGGAAACTATCTCATTGAGAAAACCAATCATACCTGTAGAACCCACGATTTCCAAGATTCCGTTCCCATTCAGACGAGGAAGTGATTCACGGAACGAAGACGCTAAAGTGGTTGGTGTGCTCGGCTTACCAAGCCCGTAAACCCCAAAGACGACTCGCTTCAGTTTGAAATCGCTCGAACTCAAGATGGTATCAAGAGCTTCCCAGCCATACAGAGGTATATCGGCAGTAATATGCGCGTCCTCGGTATCTGGAGTACGATACGTGAACAAGCATGGTATGTGGATCTCTTCAAGTCGATTCGGCACGGGGAGAGAAGAAAAGAAGGCATTCATCCAAGGGACGTAGTTTGTATAATCTCCGATTTCTTGGATGATGGATATGGTGATGATGCGGAGATTGGAGAGTGTCGAGGGATAGAGCAGAAATTCCGTTGATAATTTCGGATTCTGAGCAGCGACTAGTAGTAAAATTCAAGAATCAGTTCGATTTGATCCACTTTGCGCGATGGAAGAAGAGAACTCCTCACGTGAAGTCGGTGGATCGATCATTAGATCTTGGAGAGTGGAAGCGCATAACTTTACGATCTTTGCTGTCCATCCGTAGGCTTTGAGCTCATCCGAATGATCTGCAATTCGAAGCGTGGTCAACGCCTTTAGATCGAATGGACATTGAGGCGTCAACATCCACTCGAGGATGTGCATACGCGGTAGCGAATCACCCGCAATGTGGAGGCAGTGGAGGCTTGATATCGGAGAATGAATGGGAGATCGTTCTTGAATATCCACTTGGAGGGTTGACCTGTCAAATTTCAAGTCGTGGAGGGAATGGCAGTGATAGAAGATTTGGACAGGGATGGATCCTATTTCAGATAAACCAAGGGATGTGAGGTTCCTCATAGTAGTTTCGGGAGGTACTGTTAATGGTTTCGACAGAGGACCATTAAGAAGGTAAACCCCCTGGAGGTTTGGCAACTTCGAAGACAAAGATTCCTCGACGAAATCCAACGCCCAGCTATCCTCGATCCAGACTTTACGAACGTATTGGCGGTTTTGTGCGTCTGGAAGTACCTTCATTTGTTCTTCCTGACCTTTGACCAAGGAGATCTCAAAGAATATGATAGGTTGAGAGATGGCCCGCCATGTGCGGGAGACGAGAGCGCATCGGTGGAGATCGTAAGGTGTTTCTAGATGTTTGTATTCGCCGTAAACGTGCTCGAGAATGTTTTCTA